ATTCCTCATTGCATCCCCTATTCTCCATTTTTCTTTTTTTTTATCCCCTCTCTCTTTCCCGTTTCACTAAAATCTTCCTACTTCATTCCCGAGTCCTCATTTCTTCCCTCCTGTTCCCTGTTGCATTCTTTTTCTTCCTCCCTATCCCTTTCCTGTTGGAGATATTCCTCATGAAATACGATCACGTTAATGACAATCCTCTCCCAGTTCAAATATCTGGTTTTAATGCAGTTTCCGACATCATTACACTGGTGGGGGAAGTGCTACACCAGTAAGGGTCGTACAACGTCTAGATGTTACAAGACAATCAAATTTGCTCCAAGAGGTTCAAGATCCTCTTAGCAGCATCAACGCTCCTTCCTCGAGGGAATGCAGTATCCAAGTTAGTCCAGTGGCCCTTCAAGGCCCTTCAAGATTGAAGAGCCCTTCCATCCCCTTGCTTAAGCGTGCACTTCCCATCCGTAGGCGTTGTATGATCCCTACGAGTTAAAATTATTATAACTATGACCATAATTATAATTGTGACCATAATTTCATCTGACCGAAGCCTTCCGCCTCGGTCAGATGACCAAAAGTTCCAACGGTGGGTCATCATCTAAGACCAGAGTCAGGAAACGCTTGTCTTGTTTCCTGACAAACCTAACCCTACGAGTTCTGCGCTTTCCCCGTGAATATAAAATACCAACTGAGGCTAGTGACCCCGTTCCTGCAAATGCAATGTCCAGTAGATCACATTTCTCCCCGAGTGTACCTTCAAGATATCACTTTCTGCAACAGTGCGTATTTCTTACTGTCAAGACCAGTATTTATGATGTGAAAGTGTACGACTCAGAAGAGTGAGTGATATGCCAGTGTGAGACCTGTGACCGATTTCCAGGGTTTTTCTACCCTACCAGTCTTCTCTTGGGCAAAGTTTTTTTCTTGAGGGTCTCTACAACCAGGCTGTTGTTGTGAGCGATCCGTTGGCCCACAGCCATCACAGTCTGGCTGATTTGGTACTTGGTGGACGTAGTGATCCAGTTTCATCTTGATTTCTACATTTGGTACACCAATACAGTGCATCATATCTGATGGCAGCACGTTAAACTGTCTTGGGCCCACGGATCTTGACAGTGTCCTCTTGTGTATGGTACCACATCCCTTTCAAAGGCCTTATTTTTACAATTTTCTCTCATGTCTCACTCCAGCAAGTTATGGTAGTGATGAGGAAGCCATGTGCACCACTTCAACTGATGAAGCCTGCAGAGCAGTCGAAAGGTTTCATCTATAACTGGTGGCCTGGTGGTAAACCTCCGCTTCCACGGTAGGGTCTTGGTTCGCTTATCACACCAGCCACCAAGTAGAACATTGGACGTGTTCTTTCCACCTGTTGTCATGTTCCCATCGTAAATGGGTACCTGGGTGTTAGTCCCACTGGTTGGGTTGCATCCTGGACACTGACCTAGGAGCTGTGTCACGTCGGGCACGTGTGGCGTTGACCCAAGCAGACTCTCTCCCAGATAAACTCCAGATATAATAACTAGGGTGCGCATGCATTTTGTCAAACATCCCGGGCGGGATTGAACCCGCGGTCAGAGAGTCTCAAACTCCAGACCATCGCGTTAGCCACTGGACCAGCTAACCACAATAAGATTCATCCTAGGTGGACGAATCTTATTGTGGCTAGCTGGTCCAGTGGCTAACGCGACGGTCTGGAGTTTCGACTCTCTGACCGCGGGTTCAATCCCGCCCGTGGTATGGTTTGTTTGCAATCGTGTCATTGCGATTTCGTGAGTCATTTTTGTCAACTGTCGGTTTAAGACAACTTGTTGGTATATTCCAAGTCAAAGATCCTCACTCCCAGCACTTTCAGGTGTTCTAAACAGTTTAATTACTTTAATAACTATGCTGGCAGCAGACTATATATACATCTTTCAGCTCTGATTAATCTCCTGCCCTGAATATAACTTGAGCACAGCAATACTCCAGACGTGAAACAAGTAATCTGTATAATACCATCACTGACTTTTTCTTTAAGTTTTCATTATCCATCCTGTCATTTTTTTTGGCCTAGTATGCTGCATTTGCTTTGCCGTATTCTCTAAATGACATGTCCGAGATTATTATTCCCTGGTCTTACCCGTTTCTTATTCTCTATGAGATGACCTACCTGCGTTCTCTAAACTGAAATTTGTCACAATGAACATGTTATTTTCATTTATCAACTGTAAGATTATTGATATTGTAAATTTTCTGCTTTTACTGAGGCGACTTTCATATTACTGTAAAGTCCGAAAAAAAAGAATGATACGAAGCTGTGACTCGACAAACAAGGCCCAAAGGGCCAAAAATCAATGATATCGACTAAAGTTATCCAAGAGTCGGGGCCAGGAGCAGTCTCTCGAATCCTGTAAACAACTCTGAGTGTGCAGAGTTGATGTCTTGTCAAGGAGGGCGCGCGTGACCCAGCATACCAGTTGAGAGAGAGAGGGGCTATCCTAAATACCTCAGACAGGGTGTGGATGGTAATGAGTGATGGTAATAGTAGTGACTGTGGTGGGTGATGACTGGTGGTGGTGAGTTATGGTGACTGATCGTGACAGTTTGAAGAAAATTAGATCACCGGGGACACGATGTATACAATCCCTGGAGGTATATCTGTATATATTCACAAAGAATTTGCCGTAATCGGTAACGTGCTTAGATTCAATGTTATTCAATAACTGGTAGGTACATACTGCGGCCTTCCTGCCCTCATGTTGTCCCTATTTTTATTTATTTATTTAGTAATTTTAGCATACATACAGAGGTACAAAAAAATACAGGTAAGAGCAGCATGCCAAAGCCACTTATATGCATAGCATTACGGGCTGGCTTAAAATTAACTTAAGATTAACTAAGCAATGATGAAATCAGTGATAAAACATTATTGTAAACAGATAACTATAAAGCACAAATGAGTATTACAAAGACAGGTCATATGGTTGCATGCATTACTAACGTAAGTCTGGAATGCGTGGATTAAATTATGTTGTTGACTAGTATAAAGACCAAAAAAAAAAAAAACTACAGCTTCCAGTGGTAAAATGTTTCTCAATGCAGAGATTTATCAACAGTGACAAAACTTAGCCCCACTAAGAGCTTGTTTGGCAAGCTGTCTTTGTCTTCCTACTGGGAATGTGGTGTTGTTGTTGTTGTTGCTTCCAAAGTTTGTTGTAGGCAAACCATTTCACGGTTTTAAAGTCTTACTTTATACACTAGTCTATTGATTTGGTTAAACAAAAGGTGTACAAAGTTTCCATTTGAACTAAATAACAGTGTAGAAATATATTCACTTCTCCATGCGAAATAATTGCTACAGTATATTTATCGAGCATAAATGTAGTAATACCAGATTATTAACATATCCAGTATGTCAAATTTATAATCATATATATGAAATGAAATATATTTTTTTCCGTTAGGTTTAGAATGATTTTTGCGAAATTATTGCATAGACAAATTTTCGCTTGCCTTATTCGGCAAGAAGAGCGTTGCTGTTTAAGCCAGAATCGTAAGTTTTACCTATTCGGCACATTATATATATACACGTGTGTCGTTATATATATATATATATATATATATATATATATATATTATATATATATATATATATATATATATATATATATATACATACATACATACATACATATGTCGTGCCGAATAGGTAAAACTTACGATTCTGGCTTAAACAGCAACGCTCTTCTTGCCGAATAAGGCAAGCGAAAATTTGTGTATGCAATAATTTCGGAAAAGTCATTCTGAACCTAACGAAAAAATATATTTCATTGTGTTTATTATTAAATTATTGTAAACTTATCTAAAACATATTTAATTGGGTTAGGCTAAATTAAATTGCTCTTGTTATAATAAGGCTAGGTAAGTTTTCTAAGGTTCTTTTGATAAAAAAATAATTTTTACATTAACATAAATAAAAAAATATATGTAAACCTATAAGAGAAATTTTTTAAAAATGACTTAATTTTAAATGAGTTCTTGCTAACTGACCAGCTTTACCTATTCGGCACGACATATATAATGCAGTATTTATTATATGCCGATGTTGTTTGTATAGTAGTATGTTTGTGAAATTATGGTAGTATAATTGTAGCGACGCGCTAATTACTGTTCACCGCAAGGTAACACTAAGAACCTCAGCTATTTAAATTTAATTATGTCCTGATTTTAATCATATTACTTTATATGCAATAAGTTATAGGTATGGTAATTTAATAAAACGTACAATACAATAACAATTATAACCACAAACCACTATTAATTCCAAACAACTGACGTATTCTAGAGCAAACCATATTTATTTTTTCTCATTTTTTTCTCCCGACGTGGGTCCTGTCAGCCGATGACTCAGTGAAGCAACAGTCGTCACACCAGTGCTGGGTATCAGTCATTAATCAACAGGTGCCATGTTCCCTTGGTTAACCAATGGCCTACCTTCATAGAAAAATAATCACTTTGTCCTAGAATTAGAGAGGGAGGGAAGAGAAGGTGCTCACGGGGGTACCTGTGCAACCATAAGTCACTGCTGATGTCTAAGTAATAAAGATCATTCCACTTAGTGTAACGAAGTCAAAATACACACAGTTTTAAGAGCAAGTATGTTATGGCTTACAAGGCCAATAGTGTCATTACGATTTCTTGAGTCAGACTTTATAGACTGGGCCACGGCTAACCACAGAATAAGAGTACGCACAAAAACAGACAACTACAGTGAACATTTGACTATAAAATACATACACGTCAGTCAACATTATCGTAACACCCATATTTTGAAACAAAAATCACATGGAAACAAAGGAACTATACACCAAAGCTCGACATTAATGGCACGAGTGGTTAAAGAGAACATAAACTGATAATAAACGATAAACGTGTGCAGAGTATCACCAGACAGAGCGAACGAGGGTGAAGGCAGGACTTGACAGGCGACACCATAGCGTGGCAGGATACACAAACGTTACCTGTAAGGGTAGTCTTCCCATGGGTCTAGCGGATCATCGTGGTAATAGAAGCTGGTAACAACAAAGAGAGAACATGGGTTAGTTAAAGTAACCAGAGATACCATCAAATTTATTACGGGAGAAAGCGAAAACATATCCGTGTTAATACAAAAAAAATAAGTTTTAGTGGAGCAACAGGCAAGTTGTAAAGATGTATTATGAAACTAATGCATAAAAAAGTATTAATAAATTAGTATTGCAGAAAAATGGTAACAAGACACAGCTAGGAAGAATGTGTTAAAAGGCATAAGCCATACCCCACGGCTGACCATGTGTGGGAGGGAAGGTATTGCCCACAACTATGCCCCTTTCCACTGGATCGACCCTGATTACCTCCCATTCCCCAGGTGTTTGATGACCCCCCTATGTAGGGTTTGGCGCTTGACCCCTAAATATAGTACACTTCGAATGTTAAAAGTTTATAATAGACAAAGTTTCCCTTCTGAGCAGAGCTTCATCTAAACAGTGAAACAGTCTATATGTTTACCTTATACTACTGAGTTCCTGCCTACTCTAGTTGACTATATTGCCAAGTAGGTTAATAAGACAACAGGAGATTTATGGCATGTTTAAGAATTTCGTCTGTCAAGGGTATCATCAATTTAAGTCCTTGGTGGATGAAAATTCTTGATAAAATGCCATAAACCACATTGTGTCTCATTAACATACTTGTGGGTACATAATTAACATGGTATAAACCTTGGCTTACGTGTCTTTCTAAACCAACATTATTAACATACCTGCGTGTATATTAACACACCTGTGGGTACATTCTACCAATGATGCATATTCTTCCAAGACACGTCAATATGTACTATTACAGAATAATGCAAGAGTTGGTCTAAAAGACTGGAGCTTGTATTGAGCAGAACCTGATGGAAAGTAAGAGCTAACTATGCTAGCAACCAAAAATGCAAAGATAAAATGTGACCACACGACTACCATCAAAATATAACCCGAGAATAGGAAAAAAATGGTTGCAACATCCTGGTAAACACGTCTATAAGACACTCGATGAACCATTATCTACTCAACCCAAAAAATTATTCTTAAAAAGTCAAGCAACCGGAAAAAATAATGGTGGGCGGAGAGGCTCTCTTCCCCCCCCCCCTCCAAAAAAAAGGTGCACTCCGCCAGCGAGAAAGACTACTAATGGCCACTTCCACAATAGAAAGTAAAAGATTCTGAAAGGTTGCTGCACCATTATCTTGGGATTTACTAGGTTAGGCAGCATGGAAGAGTATCTTCTGAAGTTACAAAGTGCTGCACTGTACAGAGCGCTGGTACCAAAGGGTGTTCAGTTATTTGTAATAATGTCTTCTTAAACAAGCAACAAGCTAAACTAATCCCCCCCTCCCTTAACCACACGAGCAGAAACTATTCACAAAATCAGTAAAACAAAACTCTTGCCACAATAACCCCAAACTTTTATTGGGACATATTGATCTTTCGAACGAAACGCTGATAGTTTTTTTCAGCCACAACACCACTTGATCCGTCACTACAACACCCACATAGTACATTCCTGCTACTGAAAACAAAATGGTAAAATGTGAAGTAAAACTAGAGGTGGATCATTCAGGTGATAATTTAACGGACTCCAGCCATACCATGAACATGCAGCAGCAGCAATCCTGGGATCAAAATTCGCTGATAAGCATGATAACATGTGCCCCCCCCCTACACACACGCACAACAGATTTTTTTTATTGTACCAGTGTTTTGAGAGAGAAGGTATGTAGCCTGCGTGGGCTTCATGCGTATATTAGCACAAAGTGGTGTCTTAAACAAGTGAGAATGTCTCGGCACCAACTGCCTGAGTGAACGGAGACAAGAGCCGCGATTAGCGGAGGGAGGACAGAGCTGAATGACCCCACACGGCTTCATGAAATATTATGCAATTTGTATGGGTGTTGGCAATGAAGGAAGGAGTGAGATGACCCACCTGGACGTGCGGGAGACTTCGTCCCACTGGTCGTCTGGGTAGTAACCGTTCCTCACGCCGTTCATCACGCTGCGCACTCACACCCTGTAAACAAAAGACCATAAAAATGGAGGAACATTACAGCAGGCCTACTGGCCCATACTTGGCAGGTCATCCTCAAATCACCAATACTAACGCAACAATATAATAATAGCCAATGATTTCACTCTCTAACAGAGCAATAACTGATGAGTAAGTCATGTGCAACAGTTGGGTATCTTTATTGTTGAAACGTTTCAACAAAGATACCCAACTGTTGCCCATGCGTCTTATTCATCAAGCTGTCAGTATTATACACCATTATCAACAGAACAATAACTGTTTACATGTGGGTTTCCCTATACCAAACAGAAGACATGTTTACGAATATAACACAACCAGAATACATTCCAATATTTTCGCAAACGAAAATAAAATAAGATGTACTAATTGTAACACTAGTTAACAGGGCAGATTCACTCAAGATGTTAACAGTGTACATACTGAGATGACCCTTAGCGAGAAATGTTCTCCACAATACATGAAGCTCACTCAGGTTAGTCTGATAACTTTATCTTGTATCCCGTACTATCCTGTGGGCGGCAGCGGAAAGATTAGAGGCACATAAATAGGTCAAGGAACCGGGACAACCAATATTTTGTTAGCAAAGCAAGTTACAAAAGTATTAAACTATTCCCAGAATTTAAGGAGTCGACAGGAGAATTTTTTTTTTTTTACTCGTTAAATTCAGTCCCAAGCTTTACAATGAAGCATATTAATGTTCCAAACACACTAGTCTAAAGAACTCTAAACTGGACGACTATTACATCATTGTACACTCTCATAAAGGTGCAGTGCTACCCTGTGAATATCAACCATACACTCGCTTCTCCACAACAGAAAAATAACCGCACACATGTTGACCAGCGCCATACGATAGTTTGTAAAACCCACCTCATGAACTCTTAAACCAAGACATTTTTTTCACTAACATAACCCACACACATTCGTGCGTGACTCGCCAAACTGAAGCTCTCACCTGATGAAACACTTCAGTCAACGCTATGACCCACAGGAGGTGGAAAAGACTGGTAAAGAACCGGAAGATTAACAGGGGTTGAACGCAAGCTAACATCCCTTGTAGGACCAGAAGGGACATGGTCAGATACAGAGCAAACCTTTATTAAAGACGACGTTTTTACTCTGGGTAGATCGAAACTTTTGTCTATAATGAAGGTTGCTCTGCACAAGTCTTTACTATAACTGTAATCAATACCTTTCATTACAGAGAGAAGGTATAACGTACAAAATACTCTGGTAATTACGGTGTAAGAAAACGAGATGCGGGAGAGTCAGGAGGCATAACTAGGAACTCCAGATGTTAGGTCTACAGTTAAGTGGCACGAACGAAGAGGTTGTGAACGCAAACATTATAATGTAGATTCTCAAGTAAATACAACACACCGGAGACCATGAACGGGTAAAGCCAGTGGTTAGTAGGCGGAACCAGGAGCTGCTATCTAAACACTACGAACACATCAAGGAGAGTTGTAATCGAGTACCAAACTACCCGAATCCCGAGTAACACCACCTCTTACCCTTCCACTTCCCTCCTATGTATCCATCTTCCCATCAACTATCTGATTTCTCTCATTCTCTCTCTTTCTCAAGAGACCACCCACATTTTCTTAACTACAAAGCTCACCACTATCAATCCCAATGATCTCAATCAATTTCTAATTTCAACTCTCAAATGAAACTATCCACTATTTTTAAGCTGGTGTGGGACAACAGTGAAAAACAGCAACAACCACCAGGAGCAGCTGACATATATGACTGCACTCTAAATGTTCCTGCTTACGTAAGGATGGGCAATTGTGTATGTGGAAGATGTTCTTGTGGGTGTTGTCCTGAGAGCTGTAGTAGGAGGGGAAGAATAGGGGTGTAGGAGGCGAGGGAGGGACGGAGGAGTCTAGAAGCGAGGGAAGGAAGGAAGGTGTGGGAGTAATCTAGGAGACTGAACACTTGATTTACACGATTTAAAAAAGCACTAGGACTCATTAATTATTCAGCGCCTTGAAAGAGGATTACTGACATTATCTGTTGTTATCCTGGAAGGAGTAATGGACAGTAACCTTGTGGATTTTATTCCATCACGCTCTGATAATTTTGTTAGAAATTCGAATATCCAATAAAAAAAATATACGTGTATCTAGACGTACTCCTGTTGACTCTCGTGGCCCACATCTAGAAGTAGAGTGCCCAATTATATAGCGGTTTCTGCGGCAAATTTAAATACAAATAATTTTCATGAATCACATGGGATTACTTTTGATAGTATAATGGATATTTGTATATTGATTTTTTCCAATGCCTGTGATTTGAGGTGGTAATAAAGGAGAGGTATATAGTGGGAGGGATGCGATAGTGGGATAGAGTGGGAGGGATGCGAGAGTAGTGGGATAGAGTGGGAGGGATGCGAGAGTAGTGGGATAGTGGGAGGGATGCGACAGTAGTGGGATAGAGTGGGAGGGATGCGAGAGTAATGGGATAGAGTGGGAGGGGTTCTTAACATCAAGGTACTCCCTCAGGTGGTACATACATACCTACACGTGGACTAGGGACAAGCCAGGTGCAGCACCAACATCGTCCCGTCCTCCAACACACATCACAGAAATATCTCCTACACTTGCAAGTGATGAAAAAAAAAAACATTACAATAACAAACTTGACAAAATAAAGAAATTAGAACGGGGTGTAAGTAGAAGTGTGTTAATGGCAACATAACGCTAGATCAACACTATATTAAAAAAAATCTCAACGGAAAAATAGAAATAACAGGACCTTCAATCCCCAAGAGTGCGGTTATTCAGAAAGTTTACTCTATTACAACCACTAAGGAACCACTTACCGCACTCGTATATAGCCGCTTGCTCATGTTATCCACTTCTGACTGCTAACTATACGTATATATATGGGGTAATATTTGTTAGGTTGAGTTAACCAAACCTGTAGCAGCTAAAATAATTTTTGTAATTATATCGTCCAGAAAACTACCACTGCAATGCATGATATAACAAGTCCCTTATTAGAGAACCCATTCTCGCACTAACAGGGATAAAACGCACAAATTTGAAAGTTTTAGATTTTCCTGAGCCACTCGTTCCCAGAGGTATCATGGCCTGTTTTTTCTAGCTTGCGTGACTAATATACATTTTTTGAGGTTCTTGGAACTTATCTTAACCTAACAAAAAAATCACGATTCATAGAAAAATAAGAATTTAAAAATTTACGTTGACTGGGAGGGGAGGCTTCCCAGAGAGCTCTCAGGAGCCTTTACAAAAGTCACTCCAACCTTTACTTATCTGGTACTAGTAATTAAGAACCTTTGAACTAGGACGTCACCTTTCAGAATCACCAAAGTTATTGCTACCCCACTTGAAAATAAAACCCATTCTTGTAAGGTATTTATTAGAAGTAAAAAAAGAAAACTGCCTGAACTGTATACCCCAAAACAAATAGAGTCCACTACTATTTTTTTCTGTTGGTGGTGATCGTGTTAGCTGTACACTATTATACTGAACCACCAAATTAAAGTTTTTTCATTACTATTGAAAACATTTGACTGGTGTCATAACTCGCTTGGGGTCTCGACCCTGGGGTTGGGAACGCCTGATAAAGACCCTTTACCCTAAAGAATTTGGATTAGGCTCAAATACGCAAATACCGAGCTCTTCTTCACCAAAAACGTTAACTCGCCAGTGTGGCAAGTTGTCTACCAACATTCCTAACAAACAGCCTACAAGCAAAACAGCTCAAGAGAGAAGGAGAGTTAGGGCGGAGATTTTATGCTCCCATACAAGACCATGAGAGATGCCAGTCATCTGCACCAGCGAGTTTTGTATGAAGGCAGGAATGACCTTGAGCGAGGCACGCCTCGTCGAGTATAACACCCCGCCTCCTCTCACGCACCGCCAGGGACCCACAGGTAATCCAGTAAAGTCATGCTAGAGTTTACTGGATTACCTGTGCATATTTTAAGTTGTTTGTTAAACCCATGTACTATACGTGTCTAATATCTTTATTATGCGCCTCATACCTATCCTGTGGGAGGTAGTCAAAAGATTACAGAGGTACATAATGGGTCCTGGGACTGGATGAGTGCGATGACATTTGTATGCCCTCAAAAACTAGTTGAAAAAAAAACGCATGCTATGAATGAAATATTTAAATAAAAGCTTTTATCTATTTGTTGCAAGACTGCTGGGGGACAACTAGTGCCACAGTGATTAAAAAAAATAGTCTACAATTCTTCCTTAACGAGAGGAATCTGTATTTGAGCTCTGTAGTAAGCCAGGCGAAGATAGAGAAAAACGGGTAAGACAACATCAACGTACAATGCTAGCCGAAAACAAGTAGGGCTTTAGCACATTATGAACGCTCATGCGTTACTGATGATGGCCACGCCCCCTTCCCCTCCCCCCCCCCCCCCGAGGGCGTAGACACATCACGTTGATTTTATTAGTCAGCCATAAAAGGAAGATTTGCTTTCACATATGTTGTGTGTGGCTTCTTTGTAGGTAAATGGCGTTCTGTCGACAGTATGAAAGACTTTTGCAGAACAAGCCATTACTGGGACAACGTTTCCATCTGTGTATATACCTTCAAGTCATAACTTGATAGAGATCTAAAAACATATAGAATCATTGTCCCACTGAAGCTTGTTCTGGGAAGTGTGGGGCTACTTTACTTTATGACAGTAACATGCCGGGATGGGTTTGATGAGATAATGCAGTGTCAACTTGAGCTGGGAGAAGTCAGTAAGGCGGTTAGACTATGTTCAAGCATTCCCGTTATGTATATTCAATGGAAGAATATACTGACAACTATTATCGGTAATAATACAACAATGAAACATTTGCGGTTTATGGCATTTTATTTAAAAGAAGTTTGGTCCACCAGGACCTATCAAATCTCTGTTGAGAATATTAAATGTCTCTGACAGACACGTTTCAAAATGTCAAACCTCGTATTGTCTTATTAACATGAGCATTCCCAGTGGGTGC